GTTGGTCGAACTGGAAATATCCTAATTTTTCGTAAAATTTCATGTATCTGTATGTTCAACAATCAAAGATAAGATTAATATTGAGTTTGTGCTATTTTTCGCGTGGTTCAATACTTCAACATAATCGTGCACCTAGACAAAATATTATTCAAGTGGTTTGTACAAATCTTTCTAATTGTAAACCAACCCCTTTTAGATAGGGCATTACTAACATTGAGGATTTCGACTTTCTCAAATCTTACGATCCTAATTATATATTTATTGTCGTGTGTGTTTGAGTTAAAACTATTTTATCTAATTCTTGGTACCTAGTTGCATGTTTTGCTTGAGATTTGGCCTCTTTAAATTGATCTTAACCTTGATTAGATTTAGACTATCTATCTTCATATAATCTATTATTTAATCTCATAATTTTACGTTTAAGTTGTGATTCTGTAAGTTCGATTAGGACCCTTTTCCGTAAATCTTGCTCAATTGGTATGATAACTCTTTGCTACAACTATAAGAGCCTCTTCTTTGCCCCCAATTCTCTCTTTCAGTGATTTTACTCGATCTTTATAATTCGTTTTGAGGTGACATATCTTTACCATATTGATGTATAAATAATCCAGGAGCTGAACAACAAGTCCATTGTCGTCCAGCGGTTAGGATATCTGGCTTTCACCCAGGAGACCCGGGTTCGATTCCCGGCAATGGAACCTTTTGCAAATTTCCGAGGTTAATGTAAAAATACTGATGCTTGTCTAAAATCTTATATAGAAGATACATTGCCTTTATGAAAATTTGTCAGAAATGGGGGATTTTGTTTCACAATAAATGTTGATTACTTCTCTCGAACTCAAAATTCACTGCGTGGAAAACTTCGATATTTTTGGAAACAGAAAAACTGACCCTCGTATCATATCATATGAAGTGAGAGATTCATATTCATCTCCAGAGTTGTTGGTACTGAGAATCAAGAGGAAAAATGGCTGGAAATGTCCAGTAAAAAAGGCTCAACTGCATGTACTCCTACAAATATTCAAAGTCCGATATGACAAATGTATTCTCATACAGCAACGATTAATAAGATTCTTTTCTCCAAAAATTGTGATCAATTCACTGTGGGACTACGCATCAATCCCGACATTGATGATCAGGCACAAAACTAGAAGAAAAAATGACTTAAACCTAGAACAGAAAAGTTATCCAGGGTACTCATACAAGAACCAATATCCATTTACTATACCTGGAATCGAAACCTCAATGCTCTAAGATAACAGGGAATTGGTGCTAGATAAATATGGAAATCACAAAAGCAATTCATAGACATCAAATTTCCCACAAAAAAAGAAAAAAGAAAAAAACATCGAATCTTCAGAATCCTTAAAAACTCCAGAAACAATATATAGTTTCACATCAATCCCATTATGGGAATCGTCAACACGTTACAGATGTTGAAATGATGCTTTGCGGACCAATGGCTTCATCCCCGACTACAATAATTATATATTTAACAATCTACATGTTTCAGCAAAGTGCTGATTCATTCATCTTCAAACTTGAACAAGCCCGAATCTCTGAGGTGAACATTGAGGCCGTTTCCAGGCCTGAACAAAATGAGTGAGTTTAAATCAACTGTTGTGAAAAGAAAGAGTCACAGAGCAGCAAGACTTTAGCATGGTCCCTATGCCATAACGATGGAACCAGGTTGCAATGTTACATAAGAGAAAGTACGATATGTTACTAGTATTAGCAGCTTCCCGATTAATTATGAACTAATCACTAACCCAATAACATCTAATTTTGTGCAATAATAATCGTGAGTTGCGATGACCTTATTTTTCATGCCTTTTGGAGTCGAATGTACTTTGTTGTGCATCATGTTTTCAGGAAAGAGTGTTATAATTGTAGCAATGAATCATATGTGGGTCAAGAATGTTACTTGGATCCAGATTATGACCCAGACTGGCATGGTGAATAAGATAAATCCATTTGAAATAATTTGAGACTGTATAGGTGAGTTTCTAGTTAAAAATTCAAGCAACCAACTCCCTAAATTTCAAGAGAAGAATACTGATAATTCATCAACATCAAAACTCTTACATTTAAAAGAACTAAAAATGAAATTGTCAATTTTCTCCCATCTTGCAAACGAAGAGATATTTCATCACAATCTTTAGCCTCTTTCATCAACAGAAATACTCAATTATTCTTTCACAAAAAATGTTTCAAATTTCAAACTGTTTAGCAGCCACGTCTCGAATTTCT